TATTTTTAACAGTTTCTTTGCCTCTGTTTTCTTGAACAGGGACCGGGACATCCCTCCTGCCAGAGGTAGGGACAATCTCGGAGATAGCTCTGTTAGGCCTTGGGAAAGCACAGATGTAGTTAGGGATCTTCTGGAAGGGCTGGACATTTTTAAATCTGTAGGTCCAGATGCCCTCCACTCAAGCGTGTTGAGGGAGCTGGCAGGGGTCATCACAGAGCCCTTGGCCTGGCTGTATGAGCATTCATGGTCATCTGGCCAGGTGCCGGGGGATTGGAAACTAGCTAATGTGGTCCCCATTTTTAAGAAAGGGAGGAAGGAGGACCCAAATAACTATAGGCCCATAAGCCTCCCCTCGGTCCTCAGAAAGATCTTGGAGAAAATCATCAAGGAGCACATCTGTGGGGGGCCAGCAGGGGAGATCATGCTCAGGGGCAACCAGCATGGGTTCATCAAAGGCAAGTCCTGCCTGGCCAACCTGATTGCTTTTTATGACCAGGTAACTAAATCCTTGGCTGATGGTGTCGCCGTGGACGTAAGTAGTTTTTCTAGACTTTAAGAAGGCCTTTGACAGTCTCTCTCACCCCATTCTCATTAATAAATTAAGTGACTGTGGCATTGATGCCTGCACAGTTGGATGGGTAAAAAACTGGCTGATGGGGCGCACCCAGAGAATCGTGGTGGATGGGTCAAACTCAACCAGGCAAGATGTCAGCAGTGGGGTCCCCCAGGACTCAGTCATCAGGCCCGCACTAACATCTTCATCAGTGACTTGGACGAGGGGGTTGAAAGCATATTGTCTAAGTTTGCTGATGATACTAAGATGTGGGGTGAGGTGGGCACCTTCTTGAAAGCAGAGAGGCAAAAGGGATCTTGGAGTCATTATTGACTCCAAGATGAACATGAGCCGCCAATGCCAGACCGCAGCCAGCAAGGCCAGCCATACCTTGTCATGCATCCAAAGGTGCATCTCAAGCCGGTCCAGAAAGGTGGTGCTCCCCCTCTATGCGACATTGGTCAGGCCGCAATTGGAGTACTGTATCCAGTACTGGGCACCGCACTTTAAAAGGGATGTGGCCAGCCTGGAGAGAGTTCAGAGGAGGGCCACCTGTTTTGTGGGAGGGCAGCAGGACAGGCCCTATAAGGAGAGACTGAGGGACCTGAACCTGTTCAGCCTTGGCAAAAGGAGGCTGAGGGGGGACCTGGTGGCTGCCTCCAAACTCATCAGGGGAGATCATCAGCAAATAGGAAGAGCCCTATTCTCCCCAGCACCACCTGGGGTGACGAGGAACAATGGTCATAAGCTGATGGAGAATAGGTTTAGGTTAGAGATCAGGAGGCAATATTTTATGGTTAGGGTGGCCAGAATCTGGAACCAACTTCCTAGGGAAGTGGTCCTCGCCCCTACCTTGGGCAAATTAAAAAAGAGGTTAGATGATCACCTATCTGGGGTCTTGTGAACCCAGCATTCATTCCTGCCTATGGCAGGGTCCCTCCTGACCTTAGCTACTATGAAACTTTGAAACATCTCACCAGCCTGACTGCTTTCCAAAACAGAAAGACTTGGGAGTTTACTTACTAGAACATGAAGGGTATGAACATTTTTGGAAGAAACTTTCAGAGGAATGTAGAAGGAAGGAATTAAGAGGAATAAAATTTCTAGCAGGGAAAGTCATGGAAATGAGTGATTGTAGTATGTATATGGATTTATTAGAGGCAGAAGACACAGAAAGGTAGATGGAATTGCACGTGCAAAGAGTAATCTGTGCAGGACAAATATGGTATTTGGATGGGGTCATGGAGGGCATAAGTTGTGTTGAGAGCAAGTGAGTGGAGCCCAGGTGGTGGGTAACACCTCCCGTGTCTGGTCCAGCTGGGGTGCCACCAGTATTTTTATAATATACCATGGGCAATCAAAGCAATGCAGCAAATGCAGCAAGGAGGGGCACCTGTCCACACACTGTCCCCTCAAGTTATTACAGATGTGAAGGGAAGGGGCACAGAGTTGCAGAGTGCCAAGGGTCTCTAAAATGTATTAAGTTGGGGGGAGCACCTATTCCACAAGTGTCCCAAAGCCTGTGCAAGCAAGGGCAGACCCCCTGACCAACAGTATGAATCAGAAAGGGACAGTGAGGGAGAAGAGGGTAAGAGTGAAGTAGAAATGGTGGATGAGACCCTGAAGAAGGGAGGAAAGTAGAAAGAGGGGAGTGTAATATCTGTAACTGAGGTGGCTCAAGAAGAAACAGGAGAAGAAGGGGAAGAGGGAGAGGGAGAGAGACCAGACATGGAGGTGGGGAAGGGGTAAAAAGAAGAAATCAAACAAGCAGAATAAATGGAGGTGGAACAAATAAAAGAGCCTGGGAAGGCAGGCTCCGCCCAAGAAAAGCAGCAAGCCTGATCTGCCCCCACCCCCGGAGCATGCCTGCCTGCCTAAGCCGCGCGGGGGCCTGGTGTTTCCCTCTGTGGCTGTGGTGCCCCCCAGGACCGCCCAAGCCGGGTGCCTGCAGGCATCCGGGGGAGGGGGGGCACCACTGCTGCGGAGGGAAGCATCAGCCCCCACTCCAGCCCAGGGAGCACTCTGCCCACTGGCAGGTGACCCTCCCCTCCCCCCCCTGCCCACTGGCAGCTCACCCTCCCCTCCCCTCCCCAGTGTTGGAAAAGCAGGTAAGTCAGCAGGGTGTGTGCATGACATGGGGGTTTAAAGGGCCCTAAACTGAAGCAGTGTTTTTAAAATCCCACAGATTTAATTTAGGGCCCCCGTTTTATCTACACACACCCCAAGA